AAAAACTAAGAATTGCGATTCTGAGAAATAAAGTGAATTGCGAGACATAAACTCACAATTGTGTGAGATATATTTCGCAATTGTGACTTTTTTTCTCAGAATTGCGAGTTTATATTATATTAAAAGCCGATTTAAACTCGCAATTGTGAGGAAAAAAAGTCGGAATTGGAGTTTTTATCTTGCAATTTTGACTTTTTCCCTTGCAATTGCAAGATTGTATCCCGCTAGTCTGACTTTATAATTCACAGTGATGAGTTTATATCACGCAATTCTGAGAAAAAAGTCAGAATTGTGAGTTTATATCTCTATATATTGTGAGATTTAAAAAAATCGCATTTACTTTTTTTTTAATTTAGTGGCAGAAATGGGCTTCCATAAAAACATGCTCTCTAAGTCTGGGAAAATGTCCTAAAAAGTCAGAACTAATTAAAACCGTAGTTGATTAAAAATCATGCAATGACGACATTATTTTATAAAGCCGTCTCACACTGGTGTATGGTCCTGATGAAGCAGTCTGGTATAAAATAAGAATTTCTTCTCATAGTTGAATGGGTTTCAGGACAGTGGAGGCCAAACTCTGCAGCTGCTGACAAAATCTGGTCATTGGTTTCCATATTTCCTAGAAAAGCTTCATGCAACATCTACTGAACAAAGTCATGGAGCAGCAGCAGGAAACACACCGAGCACTAATGATCACGAAACCCAACAATGACAGTTTTAATCATTTGCTTGTTTTCGTTTTCTTACTGTTTGAGTTCACAAGATTTCTTCCTCATAATTTCAGTGCGATCCTCATACACAAATATCAAAAACAGAAAAATGAAGACAATGTCAAAACAGCAGCAGTGGATTGCCATGAGAACAGATAATAAATCTGAACTTTTCTTACACATTCATTTCATAGTTTGCTTCACACATACACAGACACTTGCATTTTGTTGAACCACCAACATATATAATCTAAAGTTCGGCGGTGATGAGCATTTATTCATGTCTGTTCCTCTCAGCCGATTTTTGACTCAGTCCTATGGTGATACCGGTTTAATTTTCATGACTTTAACAGAGAAGATGTCAGTATTATTCGCTCTTAAGAAACTCTCCAGCACTTTGCCAACCTGAGAAAAAAAATTACTGGAAGTGAGAAAACAGCAGGTTCAGAAGCAGCAGCGCACAATAAAGCTGTGTCCCAATTCACATAGAAGATGCACTTTTATGGTTCAGAACAACAAGCAATAATGTAGGATTTCTAATCAGCCACAGAATAGAAACGCTAAAAAAGTTATATTAGCCAAAAAAAATCACTTTGGGGCCTTAAAGGAACATGACGCCACACCTGTTCACTATCAACTTGATTGTAGAATGACTGAGGCTGAAACTTGATGCTAGTGATTTGTTTTATAGTTTGTCTAAACACAGGCATCCTTTCGTTTACATAGCTAAAACTGTCATAGGCGGAGCGTGTGTAAGGCTGGCCACGGGGACTTGGGGCAAAAATGCCACTAAATTGGACAACAATGCCCCTGCACAAACAAATTTAATCTATTACGTCTGTTGCTAACAAAGTGAATATGAATAGACCGTGTCGATTGCGGCATTAAGTTGAGATCTGCTCATGATGCACCGTATTTCCTTTTAGGCGTTTTTACAGTGTTGCGCATTTGAACCAATCACACACATATCTGTTGAGCTTAGGAATGCAATGGCCAATCAGAAGCGTTCAGACTAGTCATCGCTCACACTCATCAGTTTTGTTGAGTGCGCGCGCGTTCGCCGACTGAATTCCGGACTCTTGCGAATTCTCTCATCATAAACAACAAAGCGCAGATGTATGTACAATGTAAGTAAGAGATTAATTTAACAGTGTATACAGCTTCAGTGATTATAACGATAGTTAAATTTTTTTGAGAGTGCTTAAACTCGCGATAGATCAATGTTAGTGATAATGTCACTTTCTACACTCTAAAAAATGCTGGGTTGTTTCAACCCAATGTTGGGTCAAATATGGACTAACCCAACTGTTGGGTTAAAAAGGTAATTTAAAAATGTAACCAAAATTTAACCCAACAGTTGGGTTAGTCCATATTTGACCCAACATTGGGTTGAAACAACCCAGCATTTTTTAGAGTGTAGATATAATTTATTCGCTGTTTGAATAACAGTGGAAAGGAAACGTTATATAATTATCAATTTCTAACGTTTTTATTAAAGTGTAATCACGTTAAATACAAATTCATTTTTTTTTGCCTACATGACACCCATGTCTGGCTCTTAAAAAGATGGGTTTATAATGTTTAATACATTTGGCTGCTTTTAGCCTTACCCTGGAGTTGGTTCACCCTCCTAGTCCGCCTACACTGTCGATTCCCATCACAGTACATTTAGCGTGTAGTGCAATTATCAAACAGTCAGAAATGCTCCTCTCACCTCAAGCAGTTCAGCCTGACACTCTTCTTCAGTCAAAAACGTCTTCACCTTCATCTCGAGAATAGTGAGTACTGTGAGAACATGCAAAATACCAAAACTAATTTTTGAGATTTCAGGTTCGGGTGCAATAGTGATGGTAAAACCTTGACCTACACATTTATATGCACACAATGATGAATGAATTGGAGGAGTTCCAATAGGGTCCTCGGACTCCTCGCGATGCTTGGACCCTAATTACCTTTGGGTGGAGCTGCAGTTGTGCTATTGAAAACTACAAATACAGAGCCTCGATTATAACATTATAACAGGCACCTTCCGAGTAGAGACCTGCACTATCGTGGGACTACCGCAGCAACCAACGCAAGAGTGCGGTGCGCTGTAGAGGTCTGCGCGGGACTGTTTTTTTAGTCCCACTCCCGCAAGGTTCTATTCCGCACCCACCCGCTCCTGCTATATTCACTCTTTGTTCACCTGTTGTCCGCTTAGAATAATTTTCTTCCCGACCCGACCGTTCCCGCTAAATTCAGTTCTCGTTTCCAGAATCTCACATTTAAATTTCCGCTACTGAAAGAAAGAGAGATAGGCTGTAAGAGCTTGATTAGCTGGTTCAGGTGTGTTTAATTGGGGTTGGAGCTAAACTCTTCAGGACACCGGCCCTCCAGGACCGAGTTTGGACACCCCTGCTGTAAAAGGAGGGAAGAAGCGCTTCCAATCATTGTGTTTTTGTTAGCAATGGTTACCTCCAAAGAAACACGTGCAGCCATCATCGCTTTGCATCAAAAAGGCCTCACATGCAAGGAAATTGCTACAAAGAATATTGCACCCTGAAAGAACCATTTACCGGATCATCAAGAACTTCCAAGGAGAGAGGTTCGACTGCAGTGAAGAAGTCTTCAGGATGTCCCAGAGTGTCCAGCAAGCACCAGGACCGTCTCCTCCTGAGGAGTCAGCTACAGAATCGTGTCACCAGCAGTGCAGGGCTTGCTCAGGAATGGCAGCAGGTTGGTGTGAGAGCATCTGCACACACAGTGAGGCCAAGACTTTTGGACAACGGCCTGGTGTCAAGAAGGGCAGCAAAGAAGCCACTTCTCTCCAAGAAAAACATCAAGGACAGACTGAAATTCTGCGGGAAGTACAAGGATTGGACAGCAGAAGACTGGGGCAAAGTTATTTTCTCTGATGACACTCCCTTTCGACTGTTTGGGACATCTGGAAAATCGATTGTTTGAAGAAGAAAAGGTGAACGCTACCATGAGTCCTGTGTCGTGCCAACAGTGAAGCATCCTGAGACCATTCATGTGTGGGGTTGCTTTTCAACCGAGGGAGTGGGCTCTCTCATAATTCTGCCCCAAAACACTGCCAGGAATAAAGAATGGTATCAAAACGTCCAGCAAGAGCGACTTCTTCCAACGATCCATGAGCAATTTGGTGATGATCCCTGCATTTTCCAGCATGATGGAGCACCATGTCACAAAGCAAGAGTTATAAAGAAGTGGCTCGAAGATCATTACATTGAAATTTTGGATCCGTGGCCAGGCAACTCCCTGGATCGCAATCCCATAGAGAACCTGTGGCCAGTCCTCAAAAGGCGAGTGGACAAGCAGAAGCCCACAAATTGTGATCAACTCTAAGAACTAATAAGGCAAGAATGGATCGCCATCAGTCAGGATTTGGCCGAGAAGCTAATATCCAGCATGCCAGAGCGAATTGCAGAGGTTATGAAGAACAAGGGTCAACATTGTAAATATTGACTCATTATATATTTTTTGCCAATAAAAGCCTTTAAAACTTATGATATGCTTATCATTGTTTTTCAGTATACCATAGAAACATGTGAAAAAATAATCTACAAATACTGAAGCAGCAAACTTTGCAAAGCACAAAATTTGTCACTGCCAAAACTTTTGGCCATGACTGTAGGTGGTGTTGTAGTTGGTGCTGGTGTAGGCGGTGTTGTAATGCTGGTGTAGGTGGTATTGTAACAGGTAAGGAGGTAATTGATGTGGTAGTTGTAGTATCCGTAGCCAGTCCAGGTAGTTTGAGCTGTGGAATTAAAGAAATGTTTGATATCAACAATCAGATCATCTGTACTGTTGAATTATCATTCCTGATGGGGTGGTGCTTCTCAGTCTCTCAAAGTGATTATAATTAATGAAATCAGTGGTGGATCTAATTTTGTATTGAAAACGGTCAAAATCTGACACGGATTACAGTGCGGCTGATGTGAATGCTACCTGTGGTTAAGCAGCTGATTGTGGCGAGTAGACAGCCGATGAGAAGAACAGCGTGAGCCATCCTACAGATCCAGTGTTTGTGTAAGACTTCTGCCAGTGATCTTCTGACCTGCAACTTCTCTGTGACTCCATATTAAATGGTTCGAATCTTTCCTCATAATAACCCATCATGTGTCTGTCCAGCCTCATGCCGAAAAACACTGCTATTAGAGACAGATAACTACCAAAAGCATGAAGGAAACTGGTTTTTATCTGTTTAAAAAAAAAAAAAAAATCAGATTTCTGGTATGTAACTGCACAAACAGGACCAATTAATAGTTAATTTGTGTGTGTGAATGTTGGTGGATCATGTGGGCATTCAGTGTGTTCACACTGCCATCATCAGGTTGAGCTCAGGAACTGATCAGCAGGGTTTGGAGACGTTCACAGATGGTCTGCTGTGATGTTGTCTCGTGTCATCAAACTCTGTTCCTCTGAAAGGCTTGATAACACTTCTTCTTTCTTTCACCTCGCCATCTGTGGTCAGATGCCTTTAAACATCAAACGAGAGAGCGAACAAAGTGCTTTAGTGAACTCAGAGCCAGTTGAAGGTCTTTCTGTTATTAACAGGGATAATCAGCTACCTGCTAAATCATCCACCTGCTATGCAAATACTCTCACACATACACACACACACACACACACAAGACACACACATCTCCAGCACGCTACTTACTGGACTCGCATTCAAAGTTCTGGGAGATTTGCATCCAAACCTCACAGCAGAGAGCTTCCTGATGAACTGAACGCCTCATGTATCATGGTAAAGTACAATTATTTCTATTTAGTTGTATGTTAGACATTTAGCAATGCATTTGAAGATGAAATTAACATGTTATTGGCATTTGAGTTGGTTTTAGATGCTACGAACACTGTTTTATACGTTAACATAAATGTAATCATAATGTGAAGTGGCAACATCCAAGCACTAGTGTCATTTATTACCTGGAATTGATGTCAGATACTGTACATGTATACCTTTCAGAAAGGTTAGATAGTTTTGAATTTCTGCTTTTCTACTTTAACACGCTAATGTTTCAGCTCCACATTCGCAGTGAATAAAACGCCACATTGTTCTCTGTCTGATGCATTTGAACCACCTATCTGATAAAAACCGGAAAATGGCACTGTTTCAGCTTCCTCTTATCTAGTCATTCCAGTTATGACACTATTTTGTTTTATGCTGTCAATATATGCTTATTTTTGCACCTTTTTCCCCCAACATTACATTTAATGCCTTAAACTGCGTATATTTATGTCTTCACCTTCAGTCAGAACATTACTAAACCTGTTTGCATATCTTTAAAGTACAACATTGCTTTTATGAATTAAATAGTCAAAGTTATCTGCTGTGTTTTCTCTCTGATGTACGTGTAGCAACAAAAGAGAAGTGAATAACAATGACCTACAGTATTCGTCTATGTGTATTTCTAAATCAAGATAAGCAGCCGTTTGATTGAGTGTTGACAAATGAAATATTATTTATATTCATAATATTACATATAGTGAAATGTTCCATCGTACTATAGCATTTCTACACTCTCCATCCACATATTTACATAATCTTTTAATATCCGGGAAGTGTTTAACAAAACCAGCTAGCAAAGATAAACGCATATTGTTCTCGTTCTCGAGTGTTTTGGTCACCCAAAATGACGTTTTCTTTATTTTTAGAGTTTCTTTGGGAAGTTGAAACCATCTCTACTGTAAATACTAAAGTCATTTTTAATCAAACATTACATTTTTATCCTCTAAATCTTGCATAACTGTCTAATTTACCTGTTATTTTTCTTCTGTACAGACATAGCGGACCACCAGCTCCACCCAGGAGAACAGGTGCTTTGATGACAACATGCCGTACCTGTGTAAAAACATTATTAGAACAAAATATTCATGTACTTTCTCACAAACATTAGGATTTTAGGTTAAAACAAAGGTATAAAGGATAACTTGTGACGTGCTATTTCAGTTTTAATCACCTTTTAGCATACTGCAGTTAAAATATTTAATACATTAATTAATAAAAGTACAAAAAACTATGTAGCTTCTAAATTAGTATGAGGTTATATCAACTGTACATATAAGAATAATATGTTTGGCAGAACTGTATACAAAAGCAAAAACAAGTTAAAATAGCGGTGAAAATCAGCTACAGCAATCTGTAAAATATGAGTAAATAAAATGAAAATAAATACGGCCTATAAACACCTCACGTGTTTTAAACATTTACAAACACGCATAAAAAAACAACTAGTCTAGACCTTTTAAAAAGGCAGAAAAGCTGGTTAGTCAAATTAGGCGCCATATAATTTAACTCGGATGAAAATGAGGCTGTGAGGGATCGGCTTACAGTATTTACAATGGCACACACACTGTCCTCGATCAAGTGATTTCACAACTTTCAATACTATTTTATGGAGTTTTTGTCTACCGTAAGTTTTGTGCCCAGAAAAAGGTTTCGGAAGTCAAACAAACCTCAAAGCAGCATCAAATATGGCACTGACGCAGTGCGCCAATTTTCGTTATCATCACATTTTTTTTCGTTCTGTCAACCCAAAGTGCTTTAACAGTAAACAGCAAGAGCACCAAAGACGCAAATAATCCAAACACAAGCGTTTTGCTTATCTGTGACTTATTTTCTGCGTTTCTTCTAAAGTTTATTGGCGGTTTGTCGCGTTTCTGTCGAATGCTGGCGTTCTTGAAGATCAACTCAAGTTCCCTACATGCACCGCGGCACGAATAAATAATACACATTCCTGTGTACTGTGTTAATGTTATTGTTTTACGGTTTACTTCTTATGCTGTTGTGTTTGTTGTCGCAAGAAGTTAGGCTACTTGTAGTGGCGATTATTCAGAGCTCGTATTTATTTATTTATTTATTGGTTATCACCGTTAATGTGATGTGTATCTTAATTATTGTGGTTGCATTCGAAGAATCATTGATTTTATGTTTTTTAAATACATTTTATCTTGTAATATTCTAGTAGTAGGTTTATCAACTGCAGTTAAACACAAAAATATGTACTGACGTTCAGGTGAAATTATAAATGCAATCTATTATTGATCTGTAGGACTTTATTATTTCACATTTCATGTGATCTCATTTAAACCTTTCAATTCTTTGTAGATAACAGTTCTGGATATGGCTGGCCAGAGGGGGAATTTGTAAGTATTGTGCAAATATCACTTGTCTAAACACATAGTCATACAAAGTTAAAAGGTGTGGGAACATTCATACTTCCCGTTGTGTCTCCAGGAGGTATCACTTCCCTACATCTACTGTCCATCAGTCTTCTCTGAGAGCTGTGAGGTCAACAGTTTATTAGTATAAGAAACTCAATCCCACATGACATTAGCATTTTCTCAGAACCTCTCAAAATGTTGGCACATCGCATGTTGGGAATACATAGCTACTTTTGAATGATCGTCAATATAAAAAGATGTTTCTCTTGCCCCTTAAATGGCTAATCTGAACCATAATTAATAACATCATTGCATATGACTATTTACCTCTTGTGACCCAATTATGGATGCATGTGAGCTTCTTTTATACACATCTGATCAAACTCAACCATTTTCAGGATGAGGAAGATGGTGATACATATGAAGCTCCACCATGTGAACGTCCCACCATTAAAGTCCAACCGCGCCAAGTAGAGGAGAATGTTTACCTGGGTATCTATCTATCTATCTATCTATCTATCTATCTATCTATCTATCTATCTATCTATCTATCTATCTATCTGTCTGTCTGTCTGTCTGTCTGTCTGTCTGTCTATCTATTAATAATGCTGATAAATTCATATTTAATGTGATAATATTTTAGTGTCTAATGTAGCGTTTGTTTTTCCTCAGGTTATCCGGATCGAAACCCGAACCCTGTTACTCCCAAAAGACAGGCAGCACTGCCGCCACGACCGGCCAAGATCACCCCGATAGGGAAAAGCATGGTAAAACATCTAAATTACTGCAATATCTGTGTCTTAGCCTTTATTGTGAGTTTATTTCACAGAAGAGGCTTGTGTAGCTTTTAGATTCAGCTGTGTGTTTCTTTTGCTTCTAGAAGCCAGAGCCGCCTCACGACCCGGAGCAGTTTTACATCGACCCCAATGATAGCAAACGTGAGTCTCTGAAAACAAGCTCATGAATTAGGAAAAGAAAGAATAATTTTTTGATGCAGGATCAAGGATTTATCAGAGTAAGAATACAGTAAAAACAGTAATATTGCAAAATATTATTATATAGTTATTTAAAGGGGTCATTAAAGAAGATCTGTAAAGTTGCAAAGACTAAAGTCTCAAATCCACTCAAATCCATGGTTAAAGTCAACCACGCCTACCTAAAACGACTCGTTCTAACACGCCTCCACATGTCTATGTCACTGTGTGGGAAGAAAATGCAGACATGGTTTTATGTTTATGCCCAATGCAATGCAACACGTAAAAAGACAGTATAAGTCATTATAATCCATAATTATGTCCCCACTGGATATAACAAATGCTCGTTTATAATGGGTTTTCATGTTTATGTCTCGTCGCTCACGCCGGGACACGGCATCACAATATGGTGAGGGGCGTAACATTTCCGTCACACGCTTGAGGTATTCGGCCAATCACAACGCACTGGATAGCTGGCCAATCACAGCACACCTCGCTTTTCAGACCGATGAGCTTTGTAAAAATCGACGCGTTTCAGAAAGGCGGGGCATAGAGGAGAAACAATAATGTACAGTATGTGGAAAATAATGTGTTTTTTTTAACCTTAAACCGCATAAACACATTTCATTACACCAAATACACAAAATAATGTTCTTTTTAGCAACATCGTATGACCCCTTTAAAATAACTGTTTTCTATGTGAATATAATGTAAAATTTAATTTATTCCTGTGATCAAAGCTGAATTTTCAGCATCATTACTCCAGTCTTCAGTGTCACATGATCGTCAGAAATCATTCTAATATGCTGATTTGCTGCTCGAGAAACATTTCTGATTATTATCAATGTTGAAAAGTGCTACATAAATAATGGTGACTTGACTTGTGCTGATTAATATTTTGTGGAAACTATGATACATTTTATTTTTCAGGAATCTTTGATGAATAAGAAGTTGAAAAGAACAGCATTTATTAGAAATAGAAACTATTTGTAACATTGTAAATGTCTTCACTGTTACTTTTGAACAATTTAATGCATCCTTGCTGAATACAAGTATTAATTTCATTCAAAACAATCTTCAGAGAAAAATGGATGGCCTAGTCTACAATAAAACTCTCCAACTTAATATTTTCTAGCTCCTGAGGTAATACGTAAAGATAAACCTGGTAAAAAAGCCCCTCCTAAGAGACCCCCGATGAGACCTCCACCGGCCCCTCAGCAAGACGAAGGTTATTTCAACACTATGTTCACAGATATTTATATCGGATACTACAGTATTATTTGATGACACACTGCATGTTTAGTTACTGTACTCTCTGACCTTCCAGATGTTTACTTGGACCCAAATGAAGGGCAGGTAAACATGACTGAGCATCCAAAATGATAAAGAAAAAAAAAAGTGTTAATTCTTGTCAGATATCGTGATCATTTTCATTTCACTTTATATTTGTTTCTGTCAGGATGATGATGGCACCTATCTAGAACCTGTAGCAGGTCAGCGCTCCACGTATTTATAACTTAAAATGATTTTATAGAATGATAAAGTGACTTAAAACTCGTATGTCATTAATTATTTTATCTTTTCCAGAACCGCCTGCACCCCGAAGCCCGGCCCGCATGCCATTGCCTCCTAAAACTGTAGGACGAGACCCGCCACCACCAATGTATGCATGTCTAAATCAGGGTTATTATCATAAAATAAAACTAAAACCATATTTAAAAAAAAATATATATATATTTTTTTTACTCTAAATAAAATCTAATTTTCAGCTAGTTGCCGAAGCAGCATTTCTGCATTTTTAACTTGATGAAATAACTAAAACTAAAATAAAAATGTATTAAAAGACTATAGACAAACACAACAAAATTATCAATTTGAAAGATTGTATAAAACTATTTTTATTTATTTAGTTTGCTTGTAAAAAATAATATCGTTAATTAAAGTATTACATACAATTCACTGAAGTATTAAGACTATTTTAAATCCTATTTGAGTTTTGAGCAATAGATATAGCCTTTGATGCTGATATTGCGTTAAATTGTAAATGAATAATAATTAACTAAAATTAAGAACATTTTTACTCCCAAGTACATTAATGTGCATTTTGAAAAAGTTTCTCCTAGAAAAATATTAGATTAAAAAAAAAAAATCAAATATCAATTTGAAAGATTGTATAGTTGTTTTATTATGCATTGTTAAATGATTGTGTACAGTTCACTTTAAGTATTGTTATTAAAATTATTTTAAATCTTATTGTTTTTGAGTTTACCATGAATATAATCTTTGATACTGATTTGGTGTCAAATTATAAGTAAGTAATAATTAACTATATAAAAATGAAAAAGGAAAATACAAAACTAAAAACTAATTCAAAATATTAAAACTATAACAGTATCTAAATGATACTTAAAATAACGCTGGCCTAAATTCATTTATTACAGGCTCACGTTAAATTATGGTTTTTGATAATTAGTTATTTTGCTTACTGTTCTTAGCATCACCTTTATGCATTTAGCAACTTTTATCTTAAACAACTTACAGTGCATTAAATATACATTTATATTCATCAGTATGCAATGTGTGTTCCCTAAGAATTTAACCCGTAACATTAGTGTTGCCAGTTCAAGCATCCCACAAATGCACAATGTAAAGGAGCAACCCAAGTCATGTCTAGAATCCGGAATAATCATAGAGAACTTAATGGGGGATTTTTTTTCACTCAGATCATCCCGGTAGTGACTCTTATTGCTGAACCTTGTTTGGTAATACCATTTCTTCTTGTCTTACAGAATGAAACCTCCTGTTCCCAGAGCCAAATCTGTAAGTACTAGTTTGAGACACATTCATGCATTCATTACAGTCTTCTTCTCCTGAAGAAACTGATTCATTTGTCCGTTTCCTCAGAGTTCGGTCCTGATCGGTGACACTGTGAACAAAGGTTAGAGAGTTGTTCTGTTTTAACTCATGCATGATGATATAAACCCACATGTACAGCTTCATTTGACGTCCTCTCTGATCGTTTAGTTCTGCCGCCAGAAGTAAAACGTGCCACGTTTTCTGGCCAGCTGCCACCCGCACTAAACAGCAAACCAGTTCCTCCCATCATCCTCCCCAAAGAACCCAAAGCCAGGTGAGTCTGTGAAGCCTTTACCTCTTTACATGTTCAGAAACAGCCTAAAATCAAAAGAGAAAAATAACAAATTTGAAGCACGTTTTAGGTTTTTAAGATTGCATTGTGACAATTTTTTCAAGAAAATGTCTTCCTCTCTGTAGTAGCGATTTCTCTGTAGTCCACTGGTTTTTAATTAATGTAATGTGAAAAACCCCCACAATATGTGACCCTGGACCACAAAACCAGTCATAAGGGTAAATTTTTCGAAAGTGAGATTTATACATCATCTGAAAGCTGAATAAATAAGCTTTCCATTGATGTATGGTTTGTTAGGATCGGACAATATTCGGCCGAGATGCAACTATTTGAAAATCTGGAATCTCAGGGTGGAAAAAAAATCAAAATATTGAGAAAATCAAATGAAGTTCTTAGCAATGCATATTACTAATCAAAAGTTAAGTTTTGATATATTTACGGTAAGAAAGTTACAAAATATCTTCATGGAACATGATCTTTACTTAATATCCTAATGATTTTTGGCATAAAAGAAAAATCAATAATTTTGACCCATACAATGTATTGTTGGCTATTGCTGCAAATATACCCCAGCGACTTAAGACTGCTTTTGTGCTGCAGGGACACATATTTAAAACATTAGGGAAAACACGAGTAAAGCTCATTGTTGTGTTTATTAAATTGCTTTTTATTTGTGCTGAATTTATAAAACTAAATAATAGATAATTTTTCTAGCATTGTTTTAGTATCACTTGATATACTATTATAGTTTTTGTTAATTGTTTGATTTGATTTTTATATTTTCTTTTTAAATTTTAATTTCAATTAAAGGTTTAGTAATTTAAGCTTTAAAGGGTTAGTTCACCCAAAAATGAAAATTAGGCCATAAATTACTCACCCTCAAGTCATCCTAGGTGTATATGACTTTCTTCTTTCAGACGAATCCAGTCAGAGTTATATTAAAAATGGTCTTTGATCTTTCAAGCTGTTTAATGCCACTCAGCGGGTGTTGCATGCATCAGTTCAAAAGAAGTTAAATAAAAAGCGCCCATCCATAAAAAAAGTGTCTCACACGGCTCCAGGGGGTGAACAAAGGCCTCCTGTAGCGAATCGATGCGTTTTTGTAAGAAAAATATCCATATTCAAAACGTAATAATCACTTTAATGTAGCTTGCGCCAGCAGTTGTACACAGAAGCAGCTCCGGGCGGATGGCGTATGAGGTCAGCGCTGCGCATGCACCAGTGAGTCTCATGAAAACCAACGTTTGTTTACAGGAGCAACATGTGCCGGTGAGTCTCATGAAAACCAACGTTTGTTAACAGGAGCAAAGGAAGCAAAGTTTCCTTACTTTAGCAAAGGAAAACCAGTCTCCTCTTGGCTTATATCGAAATCCTCCGACATTCTTCTTTACAAATCCTCGTTTTGTACTTCTAATTCTTGACCGTTGTTTTGTTTTGATCTCTCAGCTGCGTTTCCACGTGCATCACTTCTGAGCGGCGCATGCGCAAAGCCGACCTCATACGTCATCCACCCGGAACTGCTTCCGTGTACAACAGTGAGCGCAAGCTACATTAAAGTGATTATTACGTTTTGAATATGGATATTTTTCTTACAAAAACGCATCGATTCGCTACAGAAGGCCTTTGTTCACCCCCCGGAGCCGTGTGAGACACTTTTTTTATTTTTATGGATGGGCACTTTTTATTTAACTTCTTTTAGACTGATGCACTGCAACACCCGCTGAGTGGCATTAAACAGCTTGAAAGATCATAGACCATTTTTAATATAACTCAGACTGGATTCGTCTGAAAGAAGAAAGTCTTCTTTCCTATACCTATACTCCTAGGATGACTTGAGGGTGAGTAATTTATGGGCTAATTTTCATTTTTGGTTGACTAACCCTTTAAGCTGGGCAAACAGTCACGTTGCTTTCTTTATGCAAAACTTTTTTTTTTTTTTTTGTGGTGGTGGTGAAATATAAGATGCACCGTATTGGAAGCCTATTTTGGGTACAGGAAGATTATTTGCATAATGATATTATTTTCATGCAAATGTCTCCAACCTCCAAGACCGATTCTTGGTAGTCCACTGTAAAGCAGAAATTACATTTTCATTAATCTAATATGAAAATAATATTTAAATGGTAAAGTAAAAATGTTAGTAAAGCTCACGGTTGTATTTGTTACGTGGCTTTTTATTTAATAATAAAAAAAGTACTGGATGATTTTAGTGTTATTTTAGCATCATTGATATACTATTATTAGATTTTGTTATCATTTTAATTTCAGTTAAAGTTTTAGTCATTTTGTTATGTTTTTTTGTTGTTATTAGATTTTTTCTTTTTATGGCAAAGGTGTGTGCAAATGTTTGCTTTTGAGATGTGTTTGTGATATTTTGAATGCAGTGCTTCATTTTGCACGAGATGTGAGGCATTTTACATTTTGTGTGTGCAATTCTTGCATTTGTGCGTAAAGTTTTGAAAAAAAGAGGCAACGTTTTGAAAATGTGTGTAAGCAGGTGAAAAAAAACTGCAAATATGTCCATAGTTTTTATTACATTTTAGTTTTAATTAGTTTAGTTGATTTAGTTTTAGTTATTTTAGTGCTTGAATGAAAATGAGAAATGTTGCCTTGTCAACTAGCTGAAAAAAGTTTTTTTTTACCCTTTATTTTAGTTAATGTTCATTTTATTGCAAGTAACAATGTTTTTATGGCTTTAGTTAACAGTAATAATCCTGTATTTGTCATTAAAAAAAACAAATATATATATTTTTTTTATGAACATTTGTGGTCAGTTTGGGCTTAATTGTCATAAAAATAAAGTCGCATTGCTTACTTTATGCAAAATAATTTCTTTCCTTTTGGTTTTTGTCATGAAATATAAGAGGGCCATTTCTTTGTGACATTTGCTTCTTCACTTTTTGAACAATGTCTGTTATAATTCAATCTACAGGCTTTTACTTCCATCAGTTGTAAAACGAGACCAAACTGTATGTATAAGCATATTTTCTTATCCGCTGACAAACTCAAATGCAGTAAATATGTTGTTTTTCCAGTCCTTCTCCTCCTCCTCCTCCATCTCTGGACAGCACAGGTGAGCACATCTGTTATTTTTTGTTATTCTCAAAAATCGTAATCTTTCGATGTAACTAACTGTTATCGTATGTCACATGAAAACAATTATAAGAATCATTCATAATTTCCATATTCTTAATTCATGTTCTTTCCTCACACAGCGCTTTCTTTTGGAGCAAAGCCAGTCGCTCAGGTAAACACTACAGACACAATCAATCAGTGTTTGTGATTGGTGACAAACTGCTAAAGCTGTCGCTGTATTCCGTCTCTGATTGGCTGACTGTTTTGCTCACGATCAGGGGGCGGGGCTACAGGACAAAGAGTGGTTTGCTGGAGTTTGTGAACGTAAGACTGCGGAGGAAACCGTGCTCAGGATTAACAAGGTGTGTCTATTTAAATATAAACATTTACATTTTATTTAAATGCTGCATGTTTATTGTCTAAATGGCAATGTTGCATTCAATTAAAGCAATAAAATAAAATAATAAAAAGATGATAATGAAATGTAAAATGAATGAAATATAAATATTTACATTTTATTTGAGTGCTGCATGTTTGTCATCTAAATTCCGTTATATTGTTCTGAAATTAAGCAATAAAATAAAATAAAAAATAAAATGAAATCTAAGATAAAATGACATAAAATAAAACCATACTCAGGATTAACAAGTTGTGTCTCTGTTTATGTGTGATTTTTATTTTGGTATGCTTATCCTGGGAATGTTCATTTGAATCATATTGTTCTGAAATTAAGCTACTAAATATAGTATAAAATAATTAATGAAATAAAATAGAAAATAAAATACATTTAATTTAAATGCTTCATGTTTATCATCTAAATTGGAATGTTCTGTCGAGTTGTACTGTTCCTAAATAAAGCAGTAAAATAAAATATAAAATATTTATATTTATTCATGTAAAATATTTATCATAGCACTTGTTGATTTTGATTGCTTCCATTGTCCTCATTTGTAAGTCGCTTTGGGTAAAAGCATCTGCTAAATGACTAAATGTAAATATATAATGACAACTGCATTTACGATTAAAAATGTAGCACTGTTTATAGGCAATTTGTATTTTCTATTTAGTTAAATGCTACATATTTATCTTCTATATGTGATTGTTGATGTATATAGTTAACATTCACTAGTTTTGGACAGTATATTTGTCATGTGTGTGTCTGGCAGGACGGCACGTTTCTGGTCAGATACAGCAGTTCTCAGAATGACCGTCAGCCCTTCACGCTGGTCGTGCTTTACCGGCAGACCGTTTACAACATCCCGGTGCGCTTCCTGGAGGATTCGCAACAGTACGCGCTCGGAAAAGAGGGCAAGAAGACGGAAGAGGTAGAGGAGGAGAGGAAGATCTGTGTTATGTGTGACGTCTGCACATCTGTCTGTCTGTCTGCTTTCACTTCAAATTCACATGCAGTGTGACAAGGACCACAGTTATTACCCTGGACCACAAAACCAGTCATAAGGGTCCATTTTTTGAAAAAGCTGGGCAAATAAGCTTTCCATTGATGTATGGTTTGTTAGGATAGGACAATATTTGGCTGAGATACAACTATTTGAAAATCTGGAATCTGAGGGTGCAAAAAAATCTAAATATTGAGAAAATCATCTTTAAAGTTGTCCAAATGAAGTTCTTAGCAATGCATACTATTAATCAAAAATTAAGTTTTGATATATTTACAGTAGAAAATTGACAAAATATCTTAATGGAACATGATCTTTACTTAATATCCTAATGATTTTTGGCATAAAAGAAAAATCTATCATTTTGACCCATACAATGTATTGTTGGCTATTGCTACAAATATACCCCAGCGACTTCAGACTGCTTTTGTGCTCCAGGGTCACATTTATGCATTTGGCAGACACTTTTATCCAAAGTGAAATACAATGCATTCATTTTTTTTCAATTCATGCATTCCCTGGGAATCGAACCCATGGCCTTGGTGTTGCCAGCACCATGCTCTAATGTTTAGGCTGAACTTAAAGCACTTTAAACATACTCCAAATAATTTTTTATATGTATCATTTAATTAAATGATGCTTCACACAATTATTTTCAGAGGGATTGTTGAAATGCTTGTGTTTTGGCTCAAGCTCAGTCTCATGTGACCGCAAAATCTCTTTCCTCATTACAGCTGGAGGATTTTATGGGGGGGAATATATTAAAGTATTTTATTTAAGTATTAAAGTAAAGTAAAGACTATTTAAGTCCTGAAATACTTTTTGAAACACCTTAGGGATTTTTTTTGGTCTAACATCTATTTTATAATATCACATTAAAGCAAATTAATGTGTTCTAATAATAATAAAAAATAATAATTTTGATTTGACATTTTAGTTAAAGTTTTAGTAATTTTGTAGTTTTTGTATACATGTATGTATTGGGGTGTGTGTGTGTGTGTGTGTGTGTGTGTGTATATATATATATGTTGTGTATGTGTATGTGTGCATATATATAAATGTATATGTACACACAAAATGATTCAAAATGTCAGAAATAAAAAATATATAAGTAAATAATTATGTGTGTGTGTGTGTGTGTGTATGTATATATTTTCAAAAGTTATTGAAAAAAATATAATGTCAAAGCAAAACTGCAGCATGACAGTAAATATTTCTCATTGGTATAGTTCTGATGATCTGTGTGTGTGTTCTGCAGCTCTTCAGCAGTTTGCAGGAGATGATCTCTCATCACATGAAGAACCCCATCCTCCTGATCGACCGTAAGAGTCAAGCTAAACACAGCACTCTCCTCTCACGCCCCGTTCGGCCCTAACGCTCCCGTCCCGCTCTCATGTCAACCCCCACCGCCTGATACTGACCCTGATCTCACACAAACACTCACTCATACTCTGCCTGAATTATTTATTACATTGTGTTTGTAATGCAGTCCGATGTTCATAGTATGTCTTGTGTTCAGTACATTTCATGTTTGGGGATTTTTGAATATGGTGACTATGTAGAGTTCATTAAATAACTTTAGTTAAACTCTATGCATATACTGTATAATGTTTACAGGACAACTTGTTGTCTCATGTAAAATGGTTAATAAATAAAGAAAAAAACAACATGTGACCTTTCTGGCATTTTTTCCCACACTAACTTTACAATCAAATTAAAACTAAATGACAGAAACTGAAATATGATTTCATGTGGGCGTTGTAAAGATACTGTACTTTGAAACTATAAGCTAATCGTAATGTTAAGTGGTAAAGCAGTACAGACGGGGTACTATCTGATCAAATATTTATCAACATCGTGGTACTTTGAAATTATTTGCATATTAATGTAGCGTGATGTTTACATGACAGATCCTTGAAATGTCGATTTATACGTCAAACAATACCATGCTACTTTATTATGTTTCATGTGTTTGTTTATGAAGTGCTATTAGCATTAACTGAAACTATTTAAACATTTGTTTATTGAAATTAATGTTAAGAAAAATATATAACAACTTAGTTACAGTTTCAGTAAATATTTCAATTTGTTGCCAAAGGAATATTTTATAGCTTTAGTTTAAGTACTTAAATTTCTAAAACATACCAGTTAACTAAAGTTACTAAAAATAACCAAACTAAAATGTAAATAAAATTAATAAAACTAAATAGACTTTTAATAAAAGAAACAAAAACATTCAATTAAATTGTTCATTTAAATAAAATGAGTATTAAATAAAATCTTAAAAAACACTTTCAGTAAAACATCAGTTTGTTGAAGAAGGAATATTTTATAGTTTTAGTTTAAATTAAAGTACTTAAATTACTAAAACTAAAAATAACTAAACTAAACTAAAATGTAAATAAATAATAAAAACTAAACTGAAACATTAAATAAAGAAATAAAACTAAAAAATGTTGTTAATCGAAAAAAAAAACATTAATTGAAATAAATGTTACCTAAAATATAAAAAATCTTAAAGAAAAAAAATCTAACAGACATAAAAAAAGGCATTTGGTAATTTAAATAAAATAAATAACTAAAAAAAACTCTTATACTTTCATTAAATATTTCAGTCAGTTGTGTCATGTTTTAGTTTAGTTTAAGTTGAAGTACTTATTACTTGAAATGAAATAAAAATGGAATGCAAATAAAATGAAATAAAAATTAAGTAAACATTTAAAAAAGAAAAGAAAACAAACACAATCATAAAAGGTAAATTAAAATGAAAACGGAAAATATAAAAATAAATTCAAAATACTGTCTATAGTATTGTATGAATGATAGTAGAACAGCAGTATTGTTGTTGTTGTTGCGGCTGCTGCTCTGAGTGAGTGTGCAGAAATAGACCCCAGTATTTCTGGCTGGAGCGGGGAGTTCCTGCTGTCACATGCTCGTCTCGAGCGGAAGGGTACAGCTGACCCCCTCACACTCCCTTCACCCGCAAACTCACGCATTTCCCTGCTTCATACCCCACTGAGCTCCTGTGTGTGAGAGTGTGTTTACAGCATCTGCGCCGCAGGACAGGCGGCTCGTATCAGTGCGCGCGGATCTACTTTCTCACGCGGAGGAGTCCCGCTGCGCTCAGAGAAGAAGAAGTCCGAGACACAGAGATTCACGAGCATTCACGGAATAACCGCGTCTAACGGGACACACACAACAACTCTTCATCTGCGCCCCCTCCTCCTCATCTTCCTCCTCTCCTCTCCGTGAGAATGGCGCAGATTTTACCGATCCGCTTCCAGGAGCAGCTGCAGGTAAAACCGCACGGACTCACGCAGCGTTAGTGGCTTTCCGCCCGACGCCGTTAAACCGTAAACACGCAACTGTGTAACAGCGGCCTGGTGCACGAGTCACATAGTTGATACATATGTGACATTAGAGAATATAGAGTTGCGTTACATGTTACACAGTTGCCTGGCATTTAAAAGAATGACGGTAAAGGGATTGTTAGCTTACATAGTAACAACGTTCCATGACGTGTCAGAAATTGTTACATAGTTGCATGACATTTAAATTATTACAGTTACTGTATCATGGAATGTTTATTTTTTGTGTGTGTGTTACACAGTTGCACTTGCCCAACATTTCAAATAATGCTGGTTTTTAATAACATTGTTATTCAATATCAATATTTTAGGTTACAACTAGTCCACTTTGATTTGTCCTGCAGTGTTTTTAAGTATTATTACATATAAAAATGGTTATAATATTAAGTATTTTTACATATAGTATTATGTTAAGTATTGCTACATATAACAATATTCCATGTACAGTAATATAAGCTCTGAAAACGGCTTGAATGATCATTATACACAAATTAGAACTAGTTTTAGATGAAGTACAGTTCTTGAAATTGTATTTCAATTACCCAGCATGGTGGAAATTGACACATTGCGACATGTATTGTATGATAAATTGCACAGTAGTTGCATGGAATGCAAAAAATACTTACTGTAGTGAAAAAAGCATATTTACTGCAGCGAATTTTAGAGATGATGAAACCGTTAATAATATTTGAATGACTCTTCATAATGCGTTGTGCAGGTACAGTAGTGTATGTGCAGTGAAATGCTGTATTATAGCCTTAATTTATGTAAACAAGGCCTCTAAATTGCACATTTAAAGTTGTTTGTTACATCTCGCAGCTTCTGAATGTATGTTTAAGTGCTTTGAAGCTCTTTTGTAAGTTGTTATTGGAACCAGTTGATTTTGTTTTTTAAGGCTGATGTATTGACAATATTGTCTCTTTTCTCTCTATACTGCATTAGTCAGATGAGCTTGTGTCTGTAATTGTGGGTTGGAAATGCACCGTCAGTAACTCCAGACATGCGGTATTCCTGTTCAGCACAGTGCTGTCATGTGTGGCTTAAAAACACACTTCAGATAGCACCGTCTGCAGTCTTTAAAGGAATAGTTCACCCAAAAATGAATATTTGCTTAATGTCCTCACCCTCAGGTCATCCAAGATCTAGATGAGTTTGTTTCTTCATCAGATTTGGAGAAATGTAGCATTGCATCAGTGTCTCAGCAATGGATGCTCTGCAATGAATGGGTGCCGTCAGAATGAGAGTCCAAACAGCTGATAAAAACATCACAATAATCCACACCACTCCAGTCCAGCAGTTAACATCTGGAGAAGACGAAAGCTGAAACAAATCCATCATTAAGATGTTTTTAACTTCAAATTTTAATTGTGGGTAGATCACTGAGGAAGCGTTATTATGGATTATAGACTCATATTTTGGCCAGAAGCAACAGTTTGAAGTTAAAAACACCTTAATGATGAATTTGTTTCTTACAAAGATGCAGCTTTAGGCTTCACAAGACGTTTAAGACTGGAGTGGTGTGGATTACTGTGATGTTTTTATCAGCTGTTTGGACTCTCAATCTGACGGCACCCATTCACTGCAGAGCATCCATTGCTGAACAAGTGACTGAATGCTACATTTCTCCAAATCTGATGAAGAAACAAACTCATCCTAATCTTGGATGACCTGAGGGTGAACACATTTTCAGTATATTTTCATTTTTGGATGAACTATTCCTTTAGTTTTCTGCTTGAGTGTGATAAGATTCGGGACTCTTCTTCACTCTTTTCTTCTGCATTAGAGTTGCTCTCCTGCATTGAAGTGTGTGTTCTGTGGATCCATTGGAAACAATGGGACAGTGTTATTTTGGAGATGAGGGCCTCAGTGCCAAACGCTAATGAAGTTTCATTCTACACGCCTTTGAAAATATTCTCCATGACAGAGACGTGCGAGCGTTTCTCAGACTGTCCCAGCCTCACCTTTCCACAGGCCGTGTTTTCTTTGTCGTTCACAGAACGCTTCTGGAATTCACTCTGCAGCTGATTGAAACCAGATGCTGTGGTCTCATTTAGATGTATGGCTGCTTCACTGGGATTTGAGATGAAATTTTGTTGTAAAATGTGGAATTTCATAGCGTGTCTCTTGAGATACTGTCCCTCCATGTTCTCTCTCTCTCTCTCTCTCTCTCTCTCTCTCGTGTTATTCCGGTGTCGGACGCTCAGCCAGTGCAGTTCAGTTAAAGAATGCCAAGAATCTGCAGCCGGCAGGACTTTGGGTCTTTAGCAGCTTGGCTTTATGTCTTGAACGTGTGTTTGAGTTTGAGTTCACTCAGAGCTGGATTATATTGATACAGTTTGATCCTGAATGGAACTCTGTGTGTGTGTGTGTGTGTGTGTGTGCGCTTTTATAAATAGACACAGTTCATTCTGCTCATGTCTTATAAATATGTTGAACTGGAAAAGGAACAAACACACAGATATAAATATCCAGCTTCACTAGTCTTTAACTTCTTATAGATCTTAAAAGCATATGATTTAATCTGTAACACCAGATTTGACATAAATGCTCTTTATTTAAATTACTACTTGGTTTCATTATTCAAATTAATTTTTTTTAAATATATATTTTTATTATTTAAATGACTATTTTTAAACTTTTATTATTTGAATGACTTGTTTTTTTTATTTTTATTAAGTTTATTTTTGATTATTTCAGTGACTATTTTTTATTTATTTTTATTATTTAAATTCCTTTCTTTTTTTTTTTTTAATCATGTCAAATACTATATCTTGTTCTGCTCATGCTTATGGGGTCATTTTTGCCGTGTCATTTTTCTCTGTCCTCTGATTGGCTGCTGATGTAAAGCTGTAACCCAATAGAGATTTGGCTAATGAAGTTACGAGCAGGAGGAGGAAACATGTTTATCAACAGCGTAAACTGACACAGAGGACTAGTTTTATTACACACACACTCAAAATTAAAATATAAATATCTTTAGTTGAACTCATTGCTTGCATGATTGTGTTTTGAGCGGAATATGAATGAAATAGTCTTTCCTGTCTTTAATATCAGTTGATTTTAGATGAAAAAATATTGTTGTTGTAACAGTGTCTGCTAATATTTAACCCTTCTAGCAATGATTATCGCACACACAACAGGGTTAGAGTTACTCGAAATAAAACAAACATAAGCAACTGCGATAAAAGTAAAAAAATCTTATTTTATTTCAGCTTTTTGGTAAGGAAAAATTTAATCCTTTTCATTGATCTACCAATACTACTAAAAACTTATAAA